TTTTTTTTTTTTTTTCTTTTCCATTTGACTTTTTCACTGTCTCTTAAGATGTAAAAAGTTTGAATCCCAGATCAAATTGTTTGCTCCTCTGAGTCATGCTTTAACAAGTTGTACAATTCTTTGATTTGCTTTTTCTTTATGATTATGTTTGCACGATCTTACCTGCATTGAGCGTTGGTTTTGCGATGAGATTTTTCAGATTATTGCCTAATGTTGATCTCAAAATTCAATTTGAACAAGCCATCAACTATTCTGGCCACTTCTCCCCAACAATGCATCACCTGCGCAATAACACCCCGTTGGAGGCAAAGATTGTCGTTCCAAAAAAATAAATTTGACAATTGTTTGCACTCTTACTGTCAAGTTATTGCACGAAAATGAATATGACTACGGGCTAGATTACTTATTTGACTTGCACGTATATAAGAAGATGGGGCACGTGGGTCAATATGGACCTTTTGATAATGTGTCATCCTAGTCCATCATAAAATTTAAGCCAAGCCCAAATCAATAAGATATCCAAAAGGGAAAAATTCATGAATAATGCTATGTGTACACAAACTTTTACACAATCTTTTACACTCCCCTCACATGAAGGGGGGCCCACTTGTGTGAAAGTTTGTGGGTACATGTAGCATCACCCAAAATTCATATATGAGAGATTTAAGTATAACAAATTTCAAAATTAAAAAATAAGGTTTAAAACTTCAAAAAATCGGATATTAATTAAATTTTCTTTTCTTTTTTCATCGAGATTGGGCTGGTGTTCAATGTGCCCATATTTTTTCTCAATCACGAATAAAAAAATTTAACAAATTATTGAATTAATTGGTCACAAATTATTTCTCAATCACGAAGAAAAAAATTTATAGGTCACAAATTATTTCAGTCATATATCAAAAAATTTATAAGTCATAATTTATTTAACGATTACACATCAAAAAAATTATAAATTATAATTTATTTATCGATCACAAATCACAAATTTTATGAGTCACAATTCAAATTTTTAGGTCACATATTATCTATTGATCACAAGTGATTGATAATATATTATTTATCGATCAAAACTCAAATAATTGGTCATAAATACTCTTAATCTCAGCCCCTATCCCACCCAACCCCAATCCACCATGGTAGCGCCACCTTACCACCATGGCTAACCTCCTCCAACAAACTACAAATCGCTCCCCCGAACTCCCCGTCATTCGGCATCAGACCACAATCCGACTCCAGCACAGAGACCGCTCACGCGCGCACCGCTGCAATTTTTCACTTCTACTCTCCAGCATGGTACAACTTTACATCAACATCCCGACGTCATAGCTGCATTGCTCAATTCTCCTTCGTCATCACAGAGGGGCCATCGTCGCTGTGCTAGTCGCTGTTGAGCACGCATAACGATGGTTGGTGACATTGCTTGCATGTAGCTGTGGTTGGTGACATTGCTTGCATGTAGCTGTGGTTGGTGCCATTAAAACCTAGAGAGAATGGAGAATGGTAGAGGGGGAGAAAAGAGAGTAGACATTGAAAAATAATTTAGAATTTGGGGGTGAAATTACGAGGGGAGGGATATGGGTGCATATGTAAATTAATTGAATTTTATAATATTAATAATTATAAATCTTATATTTGGATTGTGAAATTGAAAAGTGGATGTAATTTCCACGATAATCTGATTCGATCCAATTTAATTGATACTAATAATATCCAATTGGCTAATGTGAGGTCCTTTTCACCAGGTATATGCCACGTAATATATAGGTATGAATTCAATATTGCCCATTTGATAAACTTTAGAATGAGATTTTGAAAAGACTTGTTTCTTAGACGTTATTAAGGTCTTCGATAGAGGTTAATTAAGAACAAAAATCGTGCATGGGTTTTGACCAAGTGACCATATTACATTCAGTAAAAGTCGATGAAATATATGGTTAAAAAGTCGATAAATTTGCGGGTCTAATAAAGATCTGATTCGTTTACTTTTACTTAACTTTTTTAACTCAACCAAACAGGGCTTAACTGAGGACAGTAGTGACATTTTCTCCTTCACGCTCTCTATAAAGTTCACCTTTTTCATAAGAGGTTCTTATTTTGACACACAGAAATTAGAGCTCAAATTTATAAAAATGGCGAAAAATTTCAAGTTACGAATCACCAGGGTGATCACTACTACCTTGCAATCTTGCAGTTCAAAAGACACCTCAGCTCTCCCGGAAGATCCTGTCCCTTCATTTTCACGACCTTCTCCAGGGAACCTCAAATATACAGCCGTCAATTTTCCGGTATCCAAAGACCAAAACCATCATTCTTCCTTTAAAGGACACGCGTCTTCTACTTTCACATCGGCCGGTTGTGGTTGGGCCTCCAAGCCGGATGCAAAAATCACTTCCGATGAAGACTGCACCAGATCAGAACCTCAACAATTCAAGTGGAAAAAGGATGAGAAATGGCACGTTGTTGCTAAGATCTATAAGGAAAAAACGCCACTCCGGAAAATATACAACTCATCTGCTTCCGGCTGCTCCGAGGATGATGACTTAACTTTTGCAGCGCCTGGTGCACTGCCGCCAGCGCCGCCGCCATCCGCGGAGGAGAAGAAGAAAAGACGAGGGAAGAAGAAGAACATCCCTAGCAGGCTTCGCATTAGTACCTCGTCGGCCGATAGTGGGTGGTTTAGCAGTGAAGGCGGTGTCATTGTCGGCGATGAAAGAGATGAAGAGGAAACTGAAACCCTAGTCTCCTCCTCCATTAGCTTCTCCACTGATTCCTCCTCAGAGTTCAACTCTCGTTTGCATCCCATTCAAGAAACTCCCTTTACCCCAAAACCTCAACGGAGGAACAAAAGGAGAGTATCCAAGACTTCAAAGCGCGGCATTTCACGCCCGTCAGTCTCCGCCGCTGACGGCGAGATTCCGGCGAGACTCTCCATGTTCAAGAAGCTGATACCATGTACATTGGACGGGAAAGTTAAGGAAAGTTTCGCTATAGTGAAGAGGTCCAAGGATCCATACGAGGATTTCAAGAATTCAATGATGGAGATGATTCTGGAGAAACAAATGTCTGAAGAGAAAGATTTGGAGCAACTTCTTCAGTGCTTTTTGTCTTTAAATTCCCGTAATTATCACGGGATTATTATTCAGGCTTTTTCTGAAATTTGGGAGGCCATTTTCTGTCCTGGTTCAAAAGCTTCTTCAAGCTATCGCCGCCATGTTTCAGGCGGAGCAAATTAAAATTTCTCAATCTCCGTTTTTCACTTTCCTTTTAACCATCTGTAATATTATTGTAGGCACTGTTATCATTCAGTTAATTATGCTTTTTCTTCAATAATTATAATGAATATCATGAAATTTGACTACGTGTTCATACTTGCATGCATATTTTACCTTTCAATTTCATGCATCCATGATTGAATTATGAACACCGGTTGCTTGTAACGTATGTATAACTTCTGGAGTTTGATGTTTCAGAAAATGTACTTAAAATATGTGTACAAGAACATGCTCCTGGTTGGGTAACCCAATCTTTAATTTTACCTCTCAACCCAAACAAGTACTCAATGGACAGACAGACGAGAAGCAATTTTTGATTTTTCAAAATTCGTGCCCGACAGGTAAAGGACACCATTAGCCACTCAAGTAAGTCTTAGAGAGCCGTTTCACTTTGATATACTATTTTTATCCACGAGAACACAAAGTTATCAGAACTAGAATCACTATATGCAAATTTCTCTTATGGTGAATTCTGAAAAATGCTACTTGTACACACTTGGTACACAACCTTCTCACATATGTATAGAGTCCACAGTGGAACCCACATTGTGGACTTCACACACATGTGAGAGGGTTGTGTACAAAGGTGTGTAAGTGTAGCAAGGTTCGGTGAATTCTACTAGAATGTGATTCCACTGACCAAGTGCGCTTGATCATCTCCTCAAGAATTTGTACAACACAAATCAAATCTTGTTTTGATAAATTATCTGTTGTTATGAGTTACTAACATCAAATTTAATTAAGAGCTTGTTTGTCTCCCATTATTGGAAGAAAATTAGTGTAATGAAATAGTATTTTTTGGAGAATGTGTGGTTGAAAATTAAAGTAACTTTATTGGTTTGTGTGTAGAATATTTTATTAGGTGAATGTGTAGTAGAAAATCTTACTGTAGCAAACAATTTTTTGGATTAATGGTAGACAAACAGGGGCTAAATTTCAACGTCGACAAAATTTCGTATATATATTTAGCCCCTTTTTGATTTAGATACAAATTAGACTTTTAGTAGATTTTTATAAAAATTGATGGAATGTGTGATTGAAAAATTGTGGATCCAATGAAATATACGATAAAAATTAATTGTTGACTTTGACTTAAATTTTAATCTAAACTCGCGACAACCATTGTATTGGGAAAAAAGAGTTTTGTATAGTAATTTTTAAGAAAATATATGATTAAAAATTAGGAATCTTTTGATTTACGTGCATAATATTATATTGTATAAATGTGTGATTGAAAATGAGTATGTTCAAAAAAGGGAAGCACTACACATACAGAAAATCGTTTACGGAATTCCAATCACAGGGAGACAAGATTTTTCCTCCGAAAGAAGAGTGAGAACAACATAAGGGTTATCAAACAACAGCCAATCTTCCGTTATAGAATTTTTTGCAGAAAAAAGAGTTTGAAAATAATGGTCGTCAAAAGGGCTAAATTTCGAGGTTAACCGAGCATAGGCCTAACAAATATCATGACATGATAGAACGTGGTAGAATTTTTTGTTTTTTTTTTCTGTTCAATTGCCATAGTTAAAGCATCATTAGTATTAAGATTGGTCAAAGTAATTTGCTGCAAGCACGAGAAGCTATTGTTGCTAGCATCTGAGTAGGTCTTAAAATTTCAGGACAAAATGGAATCAGAATTTATTGTCTAAATCATTTGATTTGATTTCTCTTTGTTGATGCCGATTAGACTTAACCCCTTGATATGTTTCTTCGTCTAATGTCACCATTTTCTATAATCGTCGATAAAAGTGTTCTTATAATCAGTTTCTCCCCAAAAACCCTTCTAATCAGACAAATTGTTTCTAAATGACTATCTAAATATTTTCAAATGACGTTTGTTAATTTCAAAAACAACATTTGAATTTCAAAAGTCCAATCAAACGGGTCAAAAGTCTTCTGAGCCGTTAGACGTTAGGAGACTGATGAGGCTCAAGATTTGTGCGTACATAGCCTTTACTTTTTAGAATCATGCTACATGTATAAAATTGGTTAACAACGTCTTATTTTGCATCATCATATGCATCAATTTTAATAAATTGTTTTTTACATCACACGCTGGAATTTTGACAACACATAATTGTCGACTATTGTTGTTTACCAATGTTATACGCTAAGCTCTTGTTTGATCCACATTATTTTTTTTATTCTCATTATTCTACTCATTTTTACATCACGTTCTTCAATAAAATAATATTTTACATCACATCAATAATTTTTCCTTCTTTTTCAACCACATATTCCTCATCACATCAATAAAAAAATGCATTTTTGACCCCAAAATGAGCACCAAACAGGGGCTTAGATTTATTCTACTTTTTAAATAAGAGATTAACGTACAACGGTGTCAAAACGAGTGCTTTTAGTCAAAATCCATAGTAACATATGATTGCAATAATTAACTTTTGTTCCTCAAAAACAGGCAATAATTAATTTTCAAGTATGAAGAATAAATGATTGCTAGGCATGTGGATGTGGGCGAAGAACAAACGCAATTATTTTAAAGGAATGAGTAAAATTAACATTTGCCGTCTTCAATTATTACGGTCTCCCATCGCACAAGAACTTTAAATCATTCGGGTTCTCAACAACATTTTAAACCATCGTTACTCAATTCATATCCACACCGGTGTGACAGAGTTGTAAATTTACGTCGAGCATGCTCATTTTTCCAAAATAAATATATAATGGATGAGTATGTTTGAAGAGACGGGTCGTGCCATGAGTTGGTCTTATGAGAAAGTAGATTGTGCTTCACTCTAAAAGAGAAACGTTCGACACGGACTTTTTGATTTATCTTTTTTTCATTTTACCCATTCGCAGAAAGGGCTCGAACCCAGTCAATATGGTAAGAGGCCGGATTGTATTTGTTTTGTCTATGTATACAAGGTTGTTTGATAAAAGTTTTGACATGTTTTGATTAAAGCTTGCGAAATGAATAGTTAAAAAGTTGATAAAAGTTGTGGATTCGATGTGGTTAAAATTGAAGTTTGATCAATTGAAAGTCGATAAAATTTTAACAAAATTTTATTGAACGGGTACTAAATATAATTTATTTTAATCATTACCATTCTTGATCAACTAAAAATTAAGCTAACTCAAACAGTCGAGAGATTATGAAAATTTTGAATTAATTAATGTCATATTCTAGTGACTCAAAGATCGAAACCAGATTATAAAAACCTGTAAATGTATTAGGCCATTATACTAGAAAAATTGCATAAGTTAATTCGTGACTAAAGGTATACAACTTAAATGAAGTAAAATCTGTAGTACTAACTTTTCAGACAAAGTAATCCAAATATAACGTAGGAACCAATGTCTCTGCATGCAGAATCTATTAAATGCACTGAAAATCTATCTGTATTACAATAACAGAATGACACCATAGCCCTCGTCATAGCCAAATAAATGCATGTCTTCTAAGGTCCAGAATCATGTCCAAAAGGACCTCTGTACTCATTTCATAACTTTTCTGTCCAATTGTTATTTTAGTGCAATTGCCCGAAGTCGACTGCTCCAATTGTATACCATTGTTTAAAAAATTATGCTACTTGTACATAAAAATGATACATAAGAAACTGGAAAAAGCCACTCATCTCCAGGCCCAAAAACAGGAAACAAGGAGACGGGGTGATGTGTAGGGAAATGATGGGGTGTTGTGTGTGTTTTTTTTAAACTGTCCAATCCGACTCCCTGGATTTAAACTTGGATTTGTGCCTGTTTCTGTAGCATTTCTCTAAGAAATTACATAAAATGATGCGGAGGGAAAAAATTTGATGAAAAAGTTGACTGCGTTTTAAACTGGCAAATGATAGAGTGTTATGTGACATTATGTAATCCCTTATTTGAATCATTATGTACACGGAGCAAGATCTTATTTAAAATTCGTATAACTCACTAAAAATGGGAACAAACTTTCAGTCGTCATGAATGCACACTCGATACTTTTGTTTTATTTGTTCATTTTCAGTTTTCGTTAATTTGTAATCTGAATCACAATTAATTCAGTTGGCTACAAATGGTAAGATTTAGTGAGAGGCACAGACACACGGTATTAGAGATTCTTTGCCTCTTTCAGCACTACTTTTTGCAGAAAAAGATACAGCCTTTTATTTTCTTTGGTGGGTTCAATTAGGATAATTGGAAGAGGTAGATTTTTCAAATCCTATTCCTATCTGGGCTCTATATTTTCTGGCATATGCACTCCCACTGTTTTTGCTGTGTGTGTCAGTAGGGTGTTTTGCAATCTCGAGAGAGGTTTTTGTATATTTCACACTTCGTGATTTGAGCAAAGAATAGATGGGCTAGTGTGTTTTGTGACTCTTAGATGAACTGGAACTTTGGGTTTTCCTCTACACAATTCCATGGCCAGTCACATATAAACAATTCTATCTCAGAACATTATATTTCTCGTAGTGAATCAAGCAATTCTAGTGCATTATCCAGTATATAAAATCAAGAATCCAAGCAAGAAAAAAGTGAAAACCTGAATTTTTACCCAGGAGCTACAACGAATATAGTGTAACTAAAGGTATATTGGTACAATATAGTACTTGGACAAGACAATGATAACTAGTGTAGACTGTAGAAAAGTGTCGACTGGCAAAGTAAAATCTCTATGTGCACGCCTAAACTCGAAATATATATATATGAGTTAAGACAGGCATTGAATTTGTATGTACAGGCCACTATCTGAAACATGCATGCATGCATCAAGTTGTCTAGTATGCTTTTAACAACAAAAGCATTTACTATGGTCAGCTGTACATGAGAATTTATGGATATATACGACGCTGTTTTAGGTACTTTAGGGATGTATTAATTCAGATAATTCTTTCTTCAAGAATTGGTTCTGCTTTTTATGGTAGCAGAATTCAGACGTGTTTCGCATTGGAGATTTAGGGCTGTTTGGCAAGGATTTTAAAAATCAGAAGCTGCTTTTAAAATTAAGAAGTTAC